CGAATTTCGTCAATCCATTCACAAATTATTCATATATATATTTTTTTTTTTAATTTTCAATCTGCGGTTTATTTATTTTTTTCCAAATCGATATGTGAAATGAATTTTCACTTATTTTTTTTGATTGAATTCATACAAATATTAGTAAATTTCACATTTTATCTGATTTATTATAAATAATGAATTGAGAAAAAAACGATGATTCATTTCATGTTTTTTTTTTTATATAGTATTCTTGGAAATGTTATTACTACGTTCACAATGTGAATCATTGTTGCAAATATTTGAAATTATATAAATTTTGTTAAAAACAAATCGTTTTTTTTTTTCGTTCAAAACCAAATGAAATTGTAAAAAATTACATTTTGTTTCAAATTTTTATATATATAAAAAGAAAGTTATTTGTATATAAAAAATATTTCATCAATTTTCAATCAATATTTCATGAATTTAGAGTAAATTGAGTTGGTTTTATATTCAATTATTGGAAAAAGTAAAAACTGCACTTAGTAAATATCAAAAGGATGTTTGTTTTACGTAAAGAATTAAGGTGGCTTTGAGAAAAATATAAAAAGAAAAGAGAAAAAAAAGCGCACCTGAAGATGTTTTTAAATCTTATTATCGTTGCATTGGAAGTCCGCCTACACGAAGGAGAAGGTTCGTTGACCCGATTTCAACTACAATCTTTTTATTTTTTTTCAATCCCTTTACGTAAGTATTCATCTAACACATATTATTTTCTTAATTGCGATAAACTGTCACATTATCTAATCGCTATTACTAAATCATTAGTTTAAATTCCCCCAAAAAAAATTAAAAAAAACTGTTGTATTGAAACTGTTTTTTTTTATGTTCCAGATGAGACATAAAGAGCTGCCTTTGTTCCTTCGATGACTTTGGGCAAGACACCGAAGACGAAGAAAAGTTGATGGAATATAATCTCCTTCGTTGCGGTTCAAAACGAATTCCGAAAGATGACGTTGTAGTTTCATCATCATCATCATCATGATGACCTCATCTCTCATCATTTCATCTTCCGAAATAGGAGAACGAGAGATTTTTAGAATTGTAGTAAACTTTGATTCGATTTCAGATGAAGGAAACACGTTGGAAATCTTGCAAGTGTCCAGGGACGAACGTGTGCGGCTTCTCTTTCATCGAACTGCGAATTTCCATTACGAACGCATATCATATCATTTTCCCACTGTAATTTTACGTTCGAGGAGGTGTAAAAGAAAGCTGTAACCACAGGCTACCACCAGAGTTCCATCCACCGGTTGATTAATTTAACAATTTAGCAAATTACCAGATGGAAATCTTCTATCGTTTTCTTTATTATCATCATGATTACTCCTATCTTTTTCTTTATTGTATTCATCCTTCTTTCTTTCCTTCTTTCGTATAAATTATTACGTTTTAAATAAATTAATTCGTTAAATTTATAATGTTGGTAATTAAAAAAAAGTAGTGACTTTTTTTGTTAATTAATTAATTTGATTGGTAACACGCATTGTTGTCCATTTGTTAAACAAAAGGTGAACGCAGTCAATCATCGCTAATAACAGTGAGTAAATTTTGAATACTTTATTGTTAATTTATTTAAATTATATTTGAAACGGTTACAGCGAATTAACAAATTAATCAACTGAAATACTTTTAGTTGTTTATTGTATTTGCAAGTTTATTTTATAACCTAATTTACTTCTAAAGCATCTGTCAGTTTAGAGGTGAGTTGTTTATAAAAAAAACAAAAGTAGGTTAAAATTATGACGCCCTTTGATCTCGGAGGAAAATATTTTTTTTTAAGGGAATTACCCTTTTAGTCTCGACGACACTTTAAAGAAAACCGGTTTCTGATTAATCCGTACATTGTGTCCAGTCGATTTTGAAATTTGTATTGCGTATTTGTAATAAACAAAACAAAACAAAAATTTTACGTTCGAGGAGGTGTAAAAGAAAGCTGTAACCACAGGCTACCACCAGAGTTCCATCAACCGGTTGATTAATTTAACAATTTAGCAAATTACGAGATGGAAATCTTCTATCGTTTTCTTTATTATCATCATGATTAATCCTTTCTTTTTCTTTGTTGCATTCATCCTTCTTTCTTTCTTTCTTTCGTATAAATTATTACGTTTTAATTAAATTAATTCGTTAAATTTATAATGTTGGTAATTACAAAAGTAGTGACTTTTTTTTGTTAATTAATTAATTTGATTGGTAACACGCATTGTTGTCCATTTGTTAAACAAAAGGTGAACGCAGTCAATCAACGATAAATAACAGTGAGTAAATTTTGAATACTTTATTTATTGAAATTATATTTTAAACGCATCAACTTTCCAAACGGTTACAACGAATTAATCAACTGAAATACTTTTAGTTTTTTATTGTATTTGCAAGTTTATTTTATAACCTAATTTACTTCTGAAGCATCTGTCAGTTTAGAGGTGAGTTGTTTATAAAAAAAAAACAAAAGTAGGTTAAAATTATGACGCCCTTTGATCTCGGAGGAAAATGTTTTTTTTTAAGGGAATTACCCTTTTAGTCTCGACGACACTTTAAAGAAAACCGGTTTCTGATTAATCCGTACATTGTGTCCAGTCGATTTTTTCTTTCTTTTGTTAGTGTTTCCCATTAAGATTTACATAATAACTCGTTTCGTGTACCCTTCATTTCGTTTCGTTTTTTTATTCATATTTATACCTTAATATTTGAGTTGTTGGCGGAGCATTAAAAAGGTAAGTATATTATTTGCGCATGTATTTGTTGTAGTGTGGAAAAAAGAAGCACGAGGAATTTCTACCTACGCTCCTCTACCTTCGAGGTTACGCAACGCAGAAACGCAGCTGCAGAGGAAAGAACCTTCCCAAGGTCCTTCCCGAGCACAGGAAACGAGCGTGAAGGAACGTCGTCGTCGTGTACAAGCAACAGCAGTTGGCTTTCTTTTTGCGCGCTTTGATCCCTGTTTCTCTCTTACCTTGTTCGCTGGGTACGATCACTGGCGCAAAGATCAGGAGCAGAGGTAGTAGTAATCCAAAGGTACCCATGATGGAACCGTTTATCGCTTCCTTCAAATGTTGCTATTGTTGTTGTTTCACATTAACAGTTTCTCGTTTTGCAGTTGTTGTTGTTGTTGTTTACACTGGCGGCGTTTCCGAGGAAAACATTGTTTGTAACTCCATCACGTCGGTCCTTCGGAAGGTGATGATGAAGAAGTAGTAGTAATAGTGGAGAGAAAAAACAAACAAGAGAAGATCGCACTTGGCCACCTGTGGCTGCTTCTCTACACACATACACACAGCGGAACTCACCGTTACAACTTTTTCACATTCCGCTCTTTCAAACTATCCATCCGACGTCGGATCAGCACTTTTACGCGCGCACACGCGTATCGTTTTTTCGCGTGCGTCTTTTTCTGTTATATATCAACACCGGAAGTTTTTCCACGCACTTTTCCGTGTGAGAAGCGTACGCAATGACCTCTTCTTTCTGCGACGGACGAAGACACGCTGCTGTTGCGGCTTGGAGCGGAGCGCCGGAGTGCGTTTCCCCCTTCGGATAGTTTGGGGCGCACGCGCTGCGCCCCGCGAACACCTCGTCGCCCCACCTGGTGGACAGGTGAGATAACCGTTCTGTTTACCTATGCATGGCCTTCCTTCATATTCCCTCCTACACCATAGAATTCATCTCTCTCTCTTTCTCTCTGCACATTCGAATACAATGAGGAATTTATTATTATGACTCTTGTTCTCATCCTCAGGTGTACCGCAATTGAAGGGCGAGTAACGTATTTCAAGAGACGTCTCGTTTCCTGCCTTCTACAATCCCATTTTGAATCAAGATTCATGAGGAATTTGCAGACAAAAAACGGTATATATTTACAAGCAGAGATTATTCCGAAATTCATGATTTCTAAAGTAATCGCTTTGTAAAGAACTCAACGTGATTACAACGTGTACTAATTGTTATTTTTAATTAATATGCAAATTCATGCACTGAAATGACAATTTAAATGTCATAAAAGATCATTTTTTGTCAAAAATTAACGTAGTGAAATTTTAGTTTGGAAACATTTTTTGTTTCTGTTGCTAAGAAATCTGCAAGTTTTTCAAACAACATTCAAAAACGTTTGCATTTTGTTTTTCTTTGTTGAAGAAATATTGATCAGTTTTTACAGATTTTACATTTTTTTTTTCAAGAAACCATCACTTCTTTCTACAAATATGATCAAATCAATTAAATAATTACTAATTATTTAAAGCAATTAATTATTAATATACACTTTGCATAGATAAAAAATAACCTGCAAATTTGCAATTAACTCACTTAATTGATGAACAAATTAAAAATTCAAATTTGAATTTCACTAGTTCGGATAAACACCAAGAGATGGTGCTTTTATAATCATTTCAATTATAATTTTTCGCATATACTTTCATTTATACAAAGCAATGTTTTTTTTTTTATTGAAATTTCAATATTTCGTTGTTAATTAATATACGCAATTAGTGCACTAAGTGTAAAATATGCATTAGGACATCGCTCAAATATGTCAACTATAAATTCGACATGAGCACTAGAGATGGCGCCAACTTCAATTTTTAACTTTAGCTTAGATTTAGTAAATTAATAAAATAGGTATATAACTTAATATTTATCCAATTCATATTTCTAATTGATGATGTGACTGTATTCAAACCTAATTGACTTATATCTCAAGTATTACATAAATATTTCGTTACAGAGACTTGCGCACCATCTAACGGATAAACCGTCAAACTCATAGTTCGAACGTTTCTGCGCAATTTGATAATTAATTTCGAATTATTACTAAAGATTCGTTAATTATAAAGAAATTAAATGAAATTCCTTTCAAACTCGCTGAAAATGATAATAAAGAAAGGTTGGTTGTGGTTAAATGCAAATAGAAAGTTTTTTTTTGGCAGTTTTCTGTGTGAATACTCAATGTTTGTATCCATCGAGTAATAAAAAATAAATTAAATTTATTCTTTTTCTGTATTAAAGTTTTATTTTAATTAACATTATTTTTAGAAGAAGAATCCGAGGATCTTGCCTCCGAGATGTTTCCTTCTGGCCTCTTCATGGTCCATAATGCCGCCACTTGTTGTCAAAACGACGTATCTACAAAAATAAACAATAATATTAGTTTCAATTATAATAAATAAAGCAAATTGGAAATTATAACAGAAATTGTACAAATTCATTGTAAATTCCATGTTTTAAATTAAGCGAAATCAATGTTAAAAGTTTAGAAAATCTCATAGATAATTACTAATAAGCAAAGAACATTTTGGCAAATGTGGATAATAACCAATTCTTGTCTTCCAGTTAACTTAACATGAAGATTAATGAAGTAATATAAATATTTAAATTGAAGATGTAACAATGCAATAAAATCAATAAGTTTAAAACTGTATGTAATATAGTTTTGTATAACTCATTGCTTTGCGAAACAAATATTGGCAATAAAAGCATGAAAATAGTAAACAAATATCTAATTTTGTTCCTTTTCATCATCCCGAATGAATGCTGAGCAGTGTAAAGAGGCAAGCGTAAGAGTTAATGATACATACCCAAATTGACGAGAAGGTAATAGATTGTTTGTCCATTTCTCGATTTCCCTAATTGGGACATCGAAACGTGGGGAGATGACGCCGCATTTGTTCAACCTCCCAGTCAGGTTTACAACAATCTTTCCAGCCCTATGATCGTCGACAATTTCGAATTCGCCAATGTAACCGTGCTTCATCATCACCGTCAGGAACTTGACGATGACTTTGGAGGATGGCCTGATCAGCACCTGGCGCTTTCCCCGCTTCTCAGCATTGTTAATCGACTTGAGAGCGTCACTCAATACATTCATACGCACCATGGCTAAAAAAAACACAAAAACAATTAGTAAATTATAAGAGAATATATATAAATGTATATATATATTATAAACAGGTTGCAGAAAAAAAAAAGCGTTGGTGGAGTTGTAGGCTTCAATGGAGGAAGTAAACAAACTTTGCTGTAAACTCCTGAAACCTTTTAATTGATCGCAGAGCTCTAACACGCGATATTTATATAAACAATTTCAGCTATTACTATAGCAACAAGGTTATATTATACGGTTTTTACCCCAAGAGTTTGCCGAGCGAAAATTTGGCCAAAGTATGTGAAAAATGTGATCAGAGAGAGTCGAGATAATACGAAAAGCACGTTTCTTCTGTTCAATTGAATAGTTAGTTACGTGTAGCGTCGTTTCGGCCCTCTCGTCAACAAAGAATCCTCTTTACTTTTCGGACATGTAAATTTTAGGTTACCTCTGTGTTGTCACTGAACTAGAATTTTCGCACGAAACTCGGAATAAAAACCCAGCAAATATGCACTGCGATCGACGGAGGATGCTCTGCTCGAACAGAATTCAGCGTTTATGCTGTACGATGGTTAAAAGACGTGGAGATTACCTTAGATTTGTTTTGTGTTTACGGTGGAACCATACACGCAAAGGCAACACGGGTAAAAGGAAGGTTGATCCATGTTTTGCCACAGAGGACGCTTCGGTTGCCTACCAGATTCGGGACGGCGGGAAGTTCAAATTCCAGTACCTGCCATTGTCCGAATACACCCCTCCAAACTAAAATCCCAATTTCCATCACCAAAGAAGGAAAAAGAGAAAAAAGGTAAAATAGAAGAGCAATTAGTTCTTGGAAATATGGTCATTAGGTAATGGAAAAAATGTGTTTTCTTTGAAATTTACCAGTACCTGAAGAATTAGAAAACAGCCCTTAAATAATTCCAACCGTACAGATCGCACTTTCCTTTTGTTAGTTATACATTTCAATTGTTTAAGTTAACTAATAATTTTCATCTTTCAAATACAGAAAGAAAAAAAAACACAATTTGTTTAAAAGTCAATCAATTAAAGGACAAACTTTCAATTGCAATTAAACAATTGTAAGACAATAATAGAAAAAAACAGATAATTGTTCTATGCTTTAATTAATAATAATGAAATACGTGTTGAATGGGTGGCCTACCCAAAAAAAAACCGAATACAATTGTTATAAAATTTTGTATTTTCATCCTGTTATTAATTTATTTCAATTGTTTTATATATATATATTTTTTTTAAATAACACTTAAAAATACTCAATGACTCGAGAAATTAATATTTGGATTAAATAGTTAACAAATTGTATTGTTAAACTAAACGATAAAGAAATAATGTGTAATTAATTAATTTCTCTTAAGTTTATAAAACACTTTCTTTGTGCGATTTAAATTGTTTAATCATTATATGCAAGTTGGGATGCCTATACGAATTTAACCGTTTCATCAAAATTGGGACGAATTATTGCAAATTTTGAAGCGATTATTAGATAATATTGAAATTTTAAGTAATTCTTAGTGATATGTTTTTACTGAAATATGTAATAATTTGATGGAAGATTAATGTGTTTTAGGTCTATTTGGTGGATGTTGTTATCATTCATATATATGTAATAATTTGATGTAATTATTGTTGGTATGTGAATTTGAATTTGTGAAGGGTTGTTGTTTGTAAGTGAGGAATAAGGGCATGCTGTCCGTTGATAAGCGGAGCTGTGAGGGCTGCATCACAGATGTCGCGGCCGATGTGATAATGAATGGTAATGATTACCAATAAGCCGATGTGAACACGTCAAAGGTGCACTTCCGCGTAGTGTTATAACCTACGAAGCAAAACACCGGAATTTCGAGAGAGGAAAGAGAAAAACCGGATCCGGAAGTGGAAGCCGCTCGATGCAGATAGCAGGAGAACGCTGGACCGGTCTCCACTAGCAACGACGAAGATGATCCTGAGGAATCTATCGTCGACGACGTTCAAGCTCTTCCTGAGTCACTTCCTTCTGTGCTGCCTCATCTCGTACGTGAACAGCCTGGGGCAGGTGATATACGCGGTGAACTGCGGCGGAGAGGCCCACACCGATGCGCTGGGCATCCACTACGAAAGGGATCCACTGCACGGCAGGATTGGCATTGCATCAGATTATGGCAAGAGGCTGATCATCGGACGTGTGCATCCCAATGATAACATCCTCTATCAGACGGAGAGATACCACACAAACACCTTCGGCTATGACATTCCATTGAACTCGGATGGTGAGTACGTTCTGGTGCTCAAATTCTCTGAGGTGTACTTCTCCGCACCAGATCAGAAGGTCTTCGATGTGGTCTTGAATGGGGATCACACGATCGTCACAGATTTAGATATTTACGAGAGGGTCGGTCGTGGGATCGCGCACGACGAGTACGTGCCTTTTGTTATAAGTAAAGGTGAGCATGTTTACACGAAAACCGAATCGAATTTCAATCTGATTGAATATTGCTTTTTTTTTTTAGGTAAACTGATCTTCAACGGTGAAGAATCGGAGATTAGAGGCGGAAAGATCCGCGTCGAGTTCATCAAGGGCTACAAGGATAATCCGAAGATCAACGCGATGTACGTGATGAAGGGTAAAGTGGAGAACGTCCCCAAGTTACCGCCAATCCAGGAGCCCGAACCGGTGACGGACAGCCCGAAGGAGGAGGAGAAGGAGGTGCCGAAAAATCGAAGACCGAGCGGCCCGAAGATGCCCGATCCGTACACGATGGACGACTCCTCGGCGATGCTTCCCATCTTCATCGCATTGGGCGCCTTCGTTCCGTTCCTCTTCTGTTTATGCAAGTTGTGATTGCGGCTACAATCGGGGCTTAAATCAATTATTATTGTGATTCGTCATGCACAACAGCAACAACAACAACAACAACACATCGTCACATTTAGAACGTACTTAAATACTTTCCCGTTTATATCCTGGTTTTCCCTACTTTTAACAATTTTAGAATATCCTTATTAATATTATCATTACTATTGGGACTTTGGAATTTGCTCAATAACTTTTTTTTTACACGGTGAGGTTGTCTGCAGTATTATTTTATAGGTTCAAAGAAAATTGTTATTATTAATAATATTATTATTATTATTTATTATCCAAATCAATTGTTGCGTCAATTGTTTCGTGATTTTGTCGTTGTTTTTTTTTTCAGTTTCACCTGTTTCTTGTGATCTTAAATTTGTTTTGTTTCTTTTTGGTATATTTTTTAAAAATATTTTATTGCTATATATTATTATTTCGTTCTTCTTTTTTCAAATAAAGGTGGGCGCACGAGCAACGTTCTTTGTGAGAACACTCGATTATTAAGTTAATACGTTTTTTTCTTGTAAATGATGCAATAAATTTGCGTGTGAGATTCAGGTAGAAACTGATTTCTTATTCTTCTTTCTCTCTCTCTCTCTGTATTGTTATCTCCTTTCGGGGGATGCTGAGGAAACGGCTTTTGTTCGCAATACGAGACAAACAACAATCTCTATGGCAACGAACGAAACAGATTGAATTTGTCTTCTAATTCGTTGCTATCGCAACTAGAGAAAATGTTAACGTTACGCAGGTGCTGTGATTTTTTTTTTATTGAAAAAGTTGACGATATAGGTCACCAAATGTACTTTATAATTTCACAATTTTTATATCTTTTTTTTGGTATCCTCCTCATTGTTAAGCGTTAAGCGTTTAAATACACAATCGTTTGGCAATAGATAAAATCGTGAATGATTGATAATGAATAGCACGCCACCATCTTCAGATTATCTTCGGATTATCCTTGTAGCCCTTGATGAATTCGACGCGGATCTTTCCGCCTCTAATCTCCGATTCTTCACCGTTGAAGATCAGTTTAGACGGGGACTTGTTTCGTTTATTGAACGCTTGTGGCGCTTATCTATTTATGCGGGGAATCCCCTGTCTCTGTTAAGGTTTACTCATAGCTTCCTATTGCAAGTTTCAGTCTCAGTCACACCCAACCAGTACACAGCGTACTAGTCTCTGAACAATTTGTGCTTAAGTAAATTGTGTAATACTATAAGTGCTCAGCAATGGAGGTGAAAAGAAATAAAGATGCAATTAATCATATCCAAGTTGCATTGGG